TTTGGGCCTTGGCGCCACAGCTCACCTCCGAGGTGAAGCGACGTCGGATCGGAACGTGCCAGTGATAAAATGGAGCAATTAACATGCAGTGGGCTAGAATGGCTTAGAAATGCTTAGAATATCTTAGAATATGAACATTAGTTAGGGGGGTGTAGCATGCTGCAAGGTTTTTCATGGCAGCAGCAGCTGATCAAACAAACAGAGGAGCGAATTTCTCTCGCATCGTCTGACAGAGCAGCAGAGGCCTTATCGCCACAGAGACTAGCACTCCTCGCAGCACTCTCTCTTATGGCCCCTTGTCTGTATGTCTTGATGGCGACCACCCTGGAGGTTTGACCTGGGGTAGGGCAGTGATGATTGCAGGCAAGCAGTAGGCATATCCAAATTTGGTCACGACTTCGACTGGGACTGCACAGCCGAGGTCCTGTACTTGGCGGCTGGAACCATGCTGCTGGGCATGCGTTTTCGTGTGGCGCAGTGTGGCGCAGTGCGGCTTCGATGTCGAAACGCATGTCGTCGAACGAACACTTCTGGTGAGAACAACTCATGGGAACCCCGCGATGAGGCATACGCATGGGTAGACATTAATCACACATGAGAAGAATGCGAGGCAGTAAAGTAGATTAAGCTTCATTGAAAAAAAGGGGGTGCCCTACTCATACCATCTCATACCTTGAGACAAACAACCCTCAATGAGGCTTCTGAACTTGGCCTTCATGAGCCTCCTCTTCAGCGGCCTGCATGCCGCCCTACACCCGGGCTCCGTCGAGGCCAACCACGTGTGCGGACATGGTCCATCGCTAGAGACGTCGGTCCGCCATGCAGAGTGAGTGCTGGGATGTCTGGAACATGCACCAGGCGTGTTCTCTTTCAGCTGTGGGGCGTAATGGGATATGTAACGAAAGGTAGCTTGAGCTACCTGAGTTCTCCTTGCTTTAGAAAAAATGTATTACAATCAGGAGTTGGGATTGTGCATGGAGTTTGGCCCATATATATATATATAATTATATATATATATAGGATTAGCGCATCACGCAGGGATACGTGAGGTATCAAAGGATTATGAGTTATGACGAAGCAATCTTTGAATCAGCGCGGGACGGACGTTTTTAGGCAATTCCAATTCCTCCTGAAGCTCGTGATGGTGATCCAGTTACTGTATCAATCAGTTACTTGTTACTTGTCCTTTGCGAATCCCTTTCCTCCCCATTTGCACCTTATCAGATGGCACCCAGTTACAGGGCCACTCCAACCGAAAAACGGCCAGGCCAGGCCATGCCTTCGCTTTGCAACGAAGACAACAGAATTAGATGTAGCACAAACATGAAAATAAATAAGATACAATGGCACAAAGTTGGCACGTAGATGGACATGGAAAGTCAACATTTCAACATCCCATGGCGGATTCAAACATTTCTTCGATTGAATATGCCACTGTCTGAAGCGCAGCTCAGAAGTGCTTGCAGTTGGCGTCATTCTGAACCGTACAGGTCAAAACCTTTGAAACCCAAAACAGGTCATGACAAGCCAAAAGCAGCCTTTTCTCCATCAACGCCTGACACAAAGTTACAAAGGTGCAGGGACGGAGATCGGCTCGTAGGGCAATGCAAAGCCATGCCTTGCCCGACTGCTCCTGGCCAAGAGCCACCAGAAATCACCAGAACTGGATGCCACATGTTTAGCATCGTTTTGCTATGCAGCGCCTTGTGGATGGGTGACCTGGGCACCCGAGTTTCCGTCTCGGCCGGCGGATCGCAGGTTGGGAACTTCGATTTGATCGATGAGGTGCGAGCCAGTTCGTCCAGTTCGGGGGGGGCTGCACAGCACAGAACAGCACCCAGGCGCAGGCGTCGGGTGGGACAGTGTCGGGGGTTGAACCTTCACATGCCACATCAAACTTGGCCCTTCACTGTGTCAGGATGAGCTCTGATTCACCCTGCTTCGTCACGTGAAGAGCAGCTGGAAAAAAGGAGGTCTTGGGTTTGGTACTGCTATGTAATTGCTGCTCCAGAGTGTTTCATTATCTAATTTTGTTGGACTTGCGGCGGAGAGAACACATTGCCAGCGGCAGGACGAGGTTGAATCGCCCATCGCAGCTATAGCCTCTAGGGTGTTGACCTGACGTCTTGTGAATCATGTGAATGGTGGAAAGCTCCGGAAGTCATCATGAGCAACCAGACCTGCCGCGCACGTGTTTTCTGTACCTCACATGAGCAACCGCACCTCCCCACACGAAACCTGGAGACCTCGGATGACCGATTTCGGCTCAAGGGGCTCCCGCCCCCCCCCGCTCGTTTCGGCTGTCATGTGATCCCAAACGACCCGAGATGACGAATGCCCTTTGGCCAAACGACGGAGCCGTGCTGGAGAAATGCTCTTTTGGGTTCTGTGTGATGCGGCAGCACGATAAGCATCTCCTTTTGGGTTTGAAGTCCCTTTCTCCAAAGGTGATGCGAAAGGGTAACAGGCTGGAATTTACACCTTGCCGTCATGCAAACATGGGGACTTGGTATCATTGCAAAGGGCCGTGAGAGCAGGTCTGACCAGGAGAGATGCAGAAGGTCCTTTGTGGGATATTTCCCTCCTCCTGCCAAGACCGTGACAAACTCGTGGAAGAGATTTTGGAATCACTTCTATTCTACTGTGGGATTGATGGGTGAGGGACGAACGCCGTGGACAAGGGCGGTTTTTGAACACTCTTTCTCACGGCTTCGTTTTTGAACTTCCAACCTTTTTGAACATGTAATAGTTCATCATATTTTAAACATGTTAAAATCTCACTTTGTCCTCAAAAACATGGTAGTTGCAGTGGCCCTCCAACTTTGTGCGCGGGGCGGCAGAAAATAGGCCAGGGAGCCTTTTTTGAATTTCGGATCCCACATCGGAGAAAACCTGACCGTTGTCTGGCAAGGCCGCAAGCCTCAGCAGATGACGAGGCAGCAGAACATGCGAGCGTGGGAGGAACGCATTCTGTGAACCGTGCGTTCGTCCCAGAATGAGCGAAAAGCAACGTTACAATTGATTATTATTTCGTGAATATTGGTTGAAGATGTTTTTAAGCAAGGGAGGTTTTGCTCATTACAACTTGCATGGGTTTTAAAGCCAATGTAAGCGAAATTCCTCGCGGGTCCCCAAGGTTGGCTTAGGGACCGAGCAGCTCTATCGACGTCATTCTTCCACTCCCCTAATTACTCGAATTTGGGAGTTCTTAAGGGGTTTTGCCAGGGGCCTCGTTTCCATTGCAGGTACCATGAGATAGTTCCGCTCATCACGTTCGCACGACCTAAAAATCTGGCATGATGTTGTTTGCACGCCATCCCTGATGCCGCCCTTTGTTTTTGGCTCTATTTTCTCATGTCTGCCACTGAAGGTTGGCTCGCCAGAATCGGATTCCTTGCTGAAATATGTGTCCTGGCTCTCGTGGAATCCCAGCGGATCCCGTTTCAGAGCTTTATCCGAAACTCGATGCCATCACGTGGACCGTGCTTAAGCTGGGGGTAGCAGATGAGAAACTCCAACGTATGACACGCCGTGCTGCTTTCTTTGACGATTCTTTCTGCACTTGCGCTGAAAGAACAAGGCTGTGAGCTGTGGGATGCAGCGGGTGTTCTTTGTGGGTGTGGTTATACCATGTTGTACCATGTCTTACCAAGAGATAAAGGAAAAACCTGCAGGTGTGGGTCAGATTGCCCCCCTAAGGCTCAATGCCCTGGCACACCATGTGGGATGTCCCAGGCCCCTTCTGCGCGCCGCCCGCTGAGGTGCCCAACGCTGCGCCGGTGGGCACTGCTTGGCGACAGGTGCTTGGCGACAGGGGAAGTCTTGGAGTCCGTTGGATCAATTTGATTCAGCTTGTGAAAGATTTGGGATCAGATCAATTATCACAACTTCTCCATCATCATTGTGCCTGTCTTTTGTTGTTTGTTTCTTTTTCTGCGTGTGTGCTGTTTGACATGGGGCACCAGTCAGTCACTCTAGTCGTTGTGTCTTGTTACGGGCTGGTGGGTTCTTTGTAGGATATGAGCGGAAGGTGTATGCTGTCACGCAGGAATTTGGAATGCATATCGCCACATTCTCAAGTTGAATGGGAAGCGGATGGGAGCGGAGTGGCCGTGGGTTTATGACGTCGACGATGGTGGTGACCATTTGGTGGGTATATATATAGCCTTTGTTGCTGCTGTCAGGCCTCCTCATCCCGCCAGCTCAGTAAGGCCTGGTGTTCGGACCTGAAGAACTGGCTTGGAAACTGCAAGAGTGAGATAGAGAGGAACAAATATTTGCACGTCCTTCACCTTCAGAACTTTCTTACAGTTCCCCACATTTGTTTCGCCATTCCTTCTGCCTTTGCATGCCTTGGAAGGGCTCCTCCGTGGAAGAAGTTGCATTCCTGGAGGCGGTGCCGGCATTCAACTGCTTCAGCCCACATGCTGGAAGAAGATCGTGGCAAGACCTTTTTTCGAATGGGTTGCAGTTTTGTTTGTGTTGGTTAGTAGCCATTTTTTCATGATACTGTTTCGTCACTGGATCACGATCCTTCGGCCCGTCGGCATGGAAAGGCACCCTGCCTCAATGATGTGAACGCTAATGGACCTCCCAAAATAACCCTAAAGCCAGTCAAGGGATGTCAAGGGTGGGTTTGGACATATAGTTGGACAGTCCAGGAAATCAACCCAGAGCACGTGGAAGATGACGCTGTTCTCTCAGAGAAGTGGCCTGTCAGCAACACCTGGTCAGTGGATTGTTGGGACGTTGTTTCGCAACCGACCTTGGCCGATTGGCACCGGCTGGGCTTGCTAACTGTGAACGTTGAGGCTCCTCACTTCGAGAACGTGCAGGTATGTCGTTGGTTCTTCAGAGTGACCCTTTGAAGGCTTGAAGTCACTCAAGCCTGCAAAGGGTCACGAGTTCGGACGCTCGTCATTCGACATGAGCACTTTGAAGAAGCTGGTCTTCTTGATCTTTTTCCATGTCACTGATTCCCACAGCGACTGAGGACCAGCCCGAGCGGCCGAGCCGACGCCCGAGCCGAGCCGGAGATCCCGACGCAGGCGGCGTTCGGACGCTGGACGGCGTTCGAAGCATTCGCCAAAGCGGTGCCTTAGAGTCTCTCAGGCGGCCATGGATCTGGGTGAATTGAGCCAGCAAGGGGTCAAACCCTTACCACAATAGATCCACATAATTGGTCCAACCGATCATCCATGTGTGACCGCTCAACGGTTCCGGGCGGATCCGCGGAGATCGCTGCGCTGCAGGTTGGCTTCAGGCGACCTCGGAGTGGTGGTTCCGGGGACCCGGGCGGTGCCGGACGAGGGATCCGGACGGTGCCGATGGATTTGACAGGGGACGCCGCATGGCATGTGCCAGAAGAATCTGCTGTGCCTGGCTGTGTGCGAATACATTCTGGGAACATGGCCAGCAGATGCACAGGGACACACACTGCAAAGAACTGCAGTCGACGATAGATGCCAACGGTCTCATGTGTCTATTGTGCGACTGTATGTCTTTTCTTTTGCCACTTGATGCAGCTTTTTCCCCAGACAGCGAGAGTTGATTCTTACTTCAAACATAGGAAGCGGTGCCTGTGTGCGCTTTGGAGCCTGGGTGCTGGTGGTGCCGCTGCCAGTTGTGGCTGCAGGGTGCTGCCTTGGGTGCTGGTGCCGCTGCAGGGTGGTGCTGCTGCTGCGAGATGTCGATGGCCGTGTGCAATTGCGAGCTTGCGTGCGGGTGTCGCCGCAGGCTGCCAGATGTGCGTGGCTGTCTGTGCTTTGAGCCTGTGCTGGTGGTGCCGCTACAGGCATCGGGTTGCTGTTGCCAGATGTCTATGGCAGTTTGAGGTTTGGAGCCTGGGTGTTGGTGTCGCTGCAGGCCGCTGCAGGCCCCCGCTGCCAAAATGTTTATGGCAGTGAGCAATTTGGAGTGTAGGTGCTGGTGTCATGCTGCCCACAAGTACCATCAAGTACCTTTTGTTGTTTGGGGTAGTATCTGGGGTCTATGCTAGCGTATTTGGAACTGACAACATATTGGGAAGGATTGGGACGGGATGATTCGATAATCTATCGAACCCATCACATCCTTTTCTTCTCACTATCTATTTGGTTTGCTTTCTCTTCAGGCACCTTGGATGCTTCACCTGCGCCGCTTACCTGCAAATATACCATACCCTGTACCCAATATCCCATTCAAAGTTGTGCTCTCATAGAGGATGTGAGAGCTAGGCAACATGGGCTTGAGAGACACACACACACATCCATACATTCTAGGTGCCCACCGCACCAAGCAGAACACATGTATGCCGCAAGTCGTACGAGTAGTCTTCAGTCAGAGTCTTCCCCCTGAGTGATCGGTCACCGCCCGAGGATGCCAACCACTCGGCCTCTTGGTATGATCTGTCACTCTTGGTCCTTGACAGTTTTAGGCTGAGATGCATTGGATGCATTGGGTCGAGTGCTGACATGAACAACTCACGGATATTTTACCAGCCACAAGAAATACCATGCAATTGCATGAAATCCCTCACTACAGACCAGATGTGCCTTTGGGCAAAACACTCAGTTTTTTTTTTTTTTGGGTGGGGTGGGGATCAATAGATCACAGGAGGGTACGCAAGTGGCCTCCCCGACAGCCTTCAAGGAAGCCAGTGAGCTGAAAGCCTCGAGGCCACAGTCGGAGGCTCCAGAGGCGGGACATGTGGGGTTTGGCCAGATGGGTTCCTGCTTGGTTGGAATGCCTCCTGAAGTGACTGTATCAACAATTGTGAGACGAGTTAGGAAAACAATCCTAATACAATCGTATGTGCCCAGTTCAGTTGGGTGTTGGGCTGTTACAGGATGTGAGGTGGAGTGATCAGCTTTGGGTTTGCCTGTCCACATCACACTTTTTTGGTGTCGAGAGGTCGTTTTGGAGCCATGTTGAGGCGGGTTCAGGTGGCCCCCCCAGGTTGCCAGTTGGCCATACTAAGTGAAACAGCCAACGGCTCAGTGATAGATTCTGACCACAGAGCTGTCACTTCGAAAACATGTGCTGCCAGATGTTTCGCGGTCACGTGCCTGGTGCCTTGTGCAGCTTGGGCGAAGTTGATCCTTGGATCGATCGATGTCTGAGACTTCGGAATGATCGATGTCTGGGAGTATGGACCCAGTCGACTTGGCATCTCTCGGCGGTGCGGTGCTAGAGAGAGGCCCCGAGATGGTCGCTTTCGCATCTTATGGTTGAAGCCCACCATGGGAGTCGGGCCCAGGGGATCTGGGTATCACCACGGCAGCAGGGTGGAGCTTGACCTAGGCAACATGGTGGAGCCTCACTCCCCACGGCAGCTGGCTGCCTGGAAGCAGCAGGAGCAGCGAAACAGACAGTTTCAGGCCGTGCTCCCGGGTAGCAGCTACCAACTGAACGGCTTGGGGTCATGTAAGAAAAATGCTAGGGAGTTTTCAGGAAGTTTATCAGCCCTTGTTCTGTCGGCACTCACCCAAGAAGATTCTGTCCTCCTTTGGCCCGGCGATTTCGAAAGATGCTCAGATCAATATCTCCAAGAAGGGGAAGAAACTCGGGCTTCGATACGATGACTCGGACGGACTGGCCCTGGTGATCAAGATCATCGATCCAGGCGTCCTCTATGCTGCTCGGCGTTGATGATGTCTCGGTGTGCTTGACCATTGACCGTGTTGTTCCATTCTTTTCCGGGGCACTACCAAAATTCGAAGATGATCCAAGATCAGGCTGAGAAGGACCCCAGTACTTTCTACTGGTTCACTGTTTGTAGGTGTTTATACACCCAGAGGTTGATGTCACAGCAATTCACAGCATCTTCCCACTGAGGATTCCATTATGGAGATGAGCTCAGACCAGTGGGCCGCTCGGCACTGACTGTGGATGAGCTGGGTCGACCGACCGGACCATGGAAACGACCGGGCAAGCGAACCATTCGTGAAGTCAAGCAAACTTGGCAAACCGGCCTGGCACAGGCGTGGCACAGGGGATCCAAATGATCTCCCAAACAGGCTCAATCACTAAGCATCACAGAAGATTTCAGGCGGATGCAAAATCACTTTGATCACATTTTTCAGGTCAAACAACTGCACCTCCCTCTAATCGATTTCAAGCGAACTTCACTATCCCGGCACTTGGGGGTGCCAAGACAAGCGTCCCCACGTGCGCCACCCTGCGCCCCGGCGAAGCCGCTGCTCCAGGCCATGCCGGAGGATCGCATCATCGTTCCTGGGCGCCAGGGACCAGCGTGAGGGAGGGGGTCACCGGCTGTGGTCGAAGTAGGATACCACCGGTTGGAGTGCGGGATCGGTTGGATTATGGTCTTTGCTTGGTCTTCTTCAGCCTCTGGGCTTCCTGCAGACAGGGGAACGCGGGAGCTTTCGGAGTTGGCCGTGCATTGCAGCAGTGCTGGCTTCTGTGAGGTTGTGGGTGGGATATTCACTTTGTAGAAAGATGCCTCCTGATCGTGAGCCAGCTTCCCTTGCTGTAGAACTGGCAATGTTTTTTTCCAATCATTTTCTGCCAAGGAACTTTGGGTGGCTCCCTCATGTTTGAGAGAAGACCCCAAAGACAATTCCAAGCAGATCTTGATTACAATTACAACCGGAACATACCAGAACCAGATTATATTAAATGATCCTTCTCAGGATGCCAGCCTTCCCCCCCCCGAAAGGACGGTCTTCACCTCCATGCCGCCCAGCTCCTCAGGAAGTCAATGGTGTGCGCGGGAAGTCGGAATGGCTGGAGGAGCCGCTTGAACTGCCAAAAGTCTCTTGTTGCTTCGTGGGATCCCGACCTTCTCCGGGTCCCAACGCCCACGGAGGGAAGGTCCCATGTGAAACACCCCAAAACATAGACCAGAGTGGGATATGCTTTCGGGGCTCTTGGACTTGGGTTCTGAATTCAATAGTTACTTTTATTCTTTGGCCCACTTGTTGCAGAGCCGGCCTCGGAAATTGTGTCATAGGGATGAGCGAAGAACTTGGCGTGTGATTGGTGTGATCACATCATTCCCCGTGAAGCGTGTGAGGGTGCAATAACCGTTGGCTCGCGGCTCGTGACGCTGGAGCCTTGAATAAATGTCTATTTAGCACTATTTTGCAACTAAACTCTGATTGCACATTGATTGGAGCAGATCCAGAATGGGAGGCACTCAAATGCAGACCATTGCAAAGCATGCTGAGCATTGCATAGTGCTAATTGCTAATGCAAGAGATGTCAATCCCAGATGTTGCTAGAGGTCACTCCTAACCTCTCAGCATTCCAGGCAATGCATGAAATCTGATGTGCCTTGAAGGCAGAGAGGATGTTGAAGAGGATGGGTGGACCAGAGAAACCACTGTGCGGGTTCTGTCTGGTGCCGGAGAAAAAGTCCCTCGAAGACCGCTCATCCTTTGCAAAGAGGTTCTCAAGGCAAGGTTCGACAAGGCCAATTGAAGCCAATTCAATCTCACCTGTTTTGGCAGGTTGGCCTCCCCAAAAAGATCCAAAAAATGGGCAGATGTGGTCTGCAAGCAGTACAACCGATGTAAGCCGCCACACCCCAAAAGGATGAGTTAGATGCCCCAAGCGATGGAGTCATCGCAACTTTTTCCCAAGCTGGTTGGCGAATTGCTTTGTGTTGTGTATCCCAACTACATAGCTAAGTGAACTCTCCTCAAAACATGCGTGCAAGTGAATGATAGACACCAGCCAAACATCTCCACCAATACATAAATCCAATCCCAGTCGAATAGACATGTCCTGGATTTCATATTTCTGTGGGCCTCATTACAGCATACATCCCTGTGCAACTGTATGCTTTGCATTCATCCCTGAGGTCTTAACCTTAACACTGGAACGAGTTTTGCCAGCGCCCAATGAGCGGATCTTTGGCCAGAGCGAGGATCCCACCGTCATCGTGCACGCCTATGACTTGCATTTGGGCTGCATAGATTGATCCTTTTAACCTCTGGTGTTTTTGCAAGGATGATCACCATATGTCACCATCAACAACCTATGTTCGGGGAATATGACGGCGCCGATCCGTGTCATTTAGATGCCAGGAACACCAAGGAGGCTCCACCCTTTTGATCCAACTGCAGGTTCTTAATACATGAAGAACAGGCAACCATAGACCTCTACGATCCTCTACTTCTAAGAATTGTCATTAGAGGCAGCAGATTGAGTTGTTTGAGTGAATCCTATTGTAAGGGCCCTCACCTACAGGACTTCTTCGAGCGCCGATGATGCTCCGAGCGCCGAGGTTCGGTCATGGCAAGGGTCCGATGGCCTGCATGTCTCGCAACTGGGAGCGGTGTTGTGCCCCTTTTTATCATCGTCAACGACACACCATGGATTTGTCCATTTTCTTGGCCGATGCACCAACTCAATATCGGAATCTAGGGTAGTTAGTAGTTATGAAGTTATGACATGTTATGGCTTGTGACTGTTATATAAGTCAGCCGAAGCTTTTGCCTTGGGAGACTCAGATAAGAACCGAGGTCGAAGCTTTGCTTTTGCCTTGTTCTGAGGCACATTGAACTCGATGAGCACACGCTTTGGGCTTTTTCACACAGGCGGGACCAGAGGGTGGCGTCTTACCTTCCATAGTTTCGCCCAAAGTAAACTTGAAGTCCTGAAACTACTGGGACAAGACATTTTCATGGATTCCTGAAAGAAATTTGCCCTTAAATTCCTGGCGTTTCTTGCTTTGTTTCTTTCAGGGTCTGACATCGCCCTCCGATGCGATGTCACGTCCACATGCTCCAGCGGCATCCAGAGATCACTAGCACTGGGGTGGAAGCTCGAAGAGATTCGAAGAGCATGGATACCAGCCTCCCCTTCCGGTCCCCTTGATTCACGAAAAACTTGCTCTAGGCGTGGAAGTATTTGGCCGCGAGTGGTTCTTTGGAGCTTCTTTGGAGGGCCTCTTCCATGGAGTGAACTGCACCGAGCCCAAACAGCACCCGGTACACCGCTACCGCACCAGTGCGACTGGGCAACAAGCAAAAGCATGGCGAGCGGACGGACGAGCGGTGGGAAAAGGGGGCGACTGTTAATGAAGGTCCTGACATGAACAGATGCATTAACAGTCTTAATATTTGACCCCAGTCACCCTGCATTAACTGACATGAAGGTCTCATTTAGATTAGCCCCCAGTTTTCGCAGTTTGCATCTCAACATTTGACATTGTGACTAGCGTGACTAGTTCTGGGCGTCCTTGGTGACTGGTCATCCCAACGAGGATGTGGGGATGCGATATGATGTGATCATGCCAGCCGGAAGTGGTACATAATAAAGATCAGAGCAGCACTTATTGACAGTTTTGGCCAGACTCGGAGCTGGGCAGCACGGCAAGAGCCCAGCTGCATGAACATGAACACCAGTGGCTGGCTTGACAATGACGTGATCACCTTGGCAAATACCCCACAGGTGCGTTTTTGTCACCACCTGCTGGAACCAACCAACGCGTGTGGAACCGGAGCCGTGTGGAACCGGAGCCCTGTGGCTTTGAGTCCGACCGGGCGCTCCCAGGTCGCTTTGGGAACTTGCAAGATCACAGCAGAGGCTTTCGAAGAACTCATGCCGTGACATGGCTCCGATGGCGAGAGGTCTGGCGTTTGGGGGGCGTAACTGGGATCGGCTGGGTGCGTGGGGGACCTGACACTTCCGCACATCATTTGACACTTCCGCGCCACTCTTCGATTGGAGGGGTTGATCCAGGCAGTATGCCCTCAAAGGCCAAAATCTGCTGGCCAGAGCTACCTGATGCAGGTGTGAGCCACCGGGATATTTCGGGATATTGTGAGGATCTAGGAAGCAGTTCCCACTTTCCCCTCCATGTGGGTTTGTCTGGGTCGGAATGCAATGGCGAGGTTGATTCGGATGAAGTGGCCGGCTTGGTCATACCATGCCATCTCGAGGTGGGGGATCTCCGTAGTTTTTCGAATCGCTGTTCCTGTTTCAGTCCTGCGCACTTGGACTGCGTAGCTGGGGCTGCTAGCTGGGGTTCCAAGAACGAGTCTTTTGGCAGAGGTGTTGGAAGTCGCCCAGGTGGGTATAGCCACGTCAATGTAATGTAAAGATGCAGAATGCAAAGTAGAGCTCGCCCCGTTCGGCTTATCCCTGTTCCAAGTAGGCAGTGATGAAACCAATCCAGGCTGTTTGCGCCCCGCCGTCGCGACAGGAACTGTCATAGCTTTACCGCGCCTGGACTGCATGGTACCCAGGCCACCACCCGGTAACCCAGTGGGTGGAGCTTCAAGCCACGTGTCATCATCTGAAGCAGATCTGAAGCAGTCTGAACCTTGCACCATGAGATCCCATGAGAATCTATGAGACGATGATTCCCGACCATGTGGGTCACGTGAATCACCGCCGCACAGCCAAGGATTTCTTTTGCAAAATCCTGGGCTTCGAGTCTGCGCCCCGATTCGGACTGCAGCTCGGATGGCAGCCGAAGAGGGGTCCACATGTTCCAAAAGAGGTCCATCCCAGGCAACCTGCTTGGCCTTGGAGGCTTTCCTGAAGGAGCGTCAGAGCCTATGGCCTGCACCGAGGATCAGGGATGATCACGAAAGGTAGCCTGGTAAGGACTACCTTGCGAAGCAAAGGGACTGGCTTGAGAGCCTGCTGTAAAGATTGGTAGATCAATGTCTGACACCCCCACCCCCCCCCTCCCATGTGATGATTCATTGATAAATCAATTGTTTTGCACCCCCTTCCCTCCCCTCCCCTCCACTCCCCTCCCCGTCCCCTCCCCGTCCCCTCCCCTCGCCAGCACTACTAGCATTCTGGACACACCATCACACGATAAGGTGAAGTCATGCGCTTAGCAGTCACAGCAGTACGACGCTGGCCATGAGGTTGCGCAATACAGCACGAACCCTGCACAATGAGGTTGCGCAATGCGGCTTCGATGCTGCGCGTGCGCGCCCGGCAGCCTGACATAGCGCATACTGCGTTCACAGACCATATTTCTCGACACCAACGAGCATCGATGCAACACAGCCTCTCTGCAAAGCCCTGTGGAGAAACCTCTCGCTTCGCGGAGCCTCGCGTGGCCACATCCTACCGCATCGAGCACCACTACACAGCTATTTACGCACCCTTCCCATCAGCCACCCACCATAGCGTGACGTCCATCCCTGGCAGTACCGGCGGCTTCGACGCAACGCGTGCAGGCCTGTAATCCTGACACAGTGCGTGTAGCTGTGGGAAGATAGCTGGTTAACATGCGAGCGCTTACGCATTGCGACTTTTACGCGCGCCTGTTTTCAGTTTTCACACACCTTTACACAAACGAGCGTCGACGCAACGCAGCCTCTCTGCAGAGCCGGGTGGCGCAATCTGATCGCAACGGTGTTCCTCTTGAGCCTTCTTGTGCTCTTTGGCTTTGTTGGTTTCATCCATGATTGACCAAGGGGAACGTTCCTGAAACACCGGAGACAGTCCCTCACCAGAAAAGGTCCTGACAGCTACCCGGTCCGTCTCTACCTTTAGTGTTTCCCCGCTCAAGTCAGGGTATACTTTGTGGCAAGGCCCCCACCGATGTGACAGGGAATCCCGGTGGCCGCAAGTGGCACACCGCCCACCGCCCTGGCCGCCGGCCCAGGTTTGGAAGTGGTGACGCCATGCTGGTGCCAGGTGGCTTGAGGGCATGGTGGGGCCAAGAGGAGTGAATAGAGGTGCTGGTGCACGAGTAAGGTAGACACAAATCCCTAGCAAAAAAAATTGTTGAGCTGGTTTTTGCTGTGTAAAATCCTTAGCTGGTTCGGTAAAGCCTATTATTTTAATAGTGGTTGGAAGCCTAGGGAAATGTGAAAATCCAGCACTGTTCTGTTGTGAAGGCTTTCAGCCTGGTTGAGCCGATTACAAAAGGGGCAGTGGTTACTGGTTGGCCCACCAAGTGTAACACCGGGTTGATGGGCGCATTCCCGGCTTTTTGCCACATAAGCTAGGAACACGGAGCCAGCGAGTAGTCAAGGTTATAAGGAGAAATGGAATCGGTAGAAGACGACCGAAATCCTTTTCGCCTGCCCACGTGCGGACCTCCGCGGCCCACGTCAGGAGCTGCAGCTGATGCACGATCACTGGCGTGCGGCCGCCCTGCATGGATCCCGCAGTCCTGCGGCATGCCGCGATGCTAAAGTACCTACAGTACGCTATGTAACATGGATTTTTGATTGTCAGCACGTTGGTATCTCAAATAACTGTCACTCTATGCGAAAAGATATGGTTCCCTTGGTGTGAGCCTTATTTAGACGTGGCACGAGTAGATCCAACATGATCCACCTGCCACGGGGTGCCCTGACCACCCGGAGGCCCTGTGGGAGCTGTGCGTCGCTCAAGACCGGCGAGGCAGGAGGACACGAGGGGAGCCGCGCGTCGAGTTCAGCCTACGAAGCATGGGAGGCGTAGAGCATACACCAGGCCCACGAGGGCCCTTCTTGAGATTGCTTTTTTGGGGCCGGGGAGGGGGTGAAGTATGGAGAAACCACTCGGTGAGATGTTCATGAGACACATGCATGTGTGTGAATCAGAGCAGAAGGGGGCTGCCTCCTTTCCCCCTCCTCTTCTTGACTGACGAGTCTGGATAGGGTGCAACCATGATTGTCAGCCGAGGCTGGTACATCATGGGTTGCCGCAATGCCAGGGGTTTGTCTCAAGATCAACTTCCCTCCAGACACCTACCAGACACCCATGATTGTCAGTGGTGTCGCCGCGGCGCAAGCGGGCCCCGGCCGGGCGACCGCCAGGGCCGACAGATGCCGATGTCCCCGAGCAGCGAAGGCAGCTGCCAGGGGGCCCCGAGATGCCGGTGTCGGGACGAAAGAGGCAGCTTTTCAAGCTAAAACTCGTTCTTGGTTGTTGGGAATGCTTCTTTGTTGTCCCACCGGTGTGGCGTGGGGTCTACGGTGGTGTAGCCTTTTTCTCCCCCAAGTGGCTGCCAGGGATGAAAGAGAAAGCCGCTGGTTCCAGCAACAAACTGCACCATGTGGCCACTTCTTTTTGGTTACAAAAAGCTTGTGTAGCCGCCTTTCCCTTCTGTGGCACCAGGGCTGATGTATGTTGATGCCCCAGTTACTGCAAAAAGAGGCCTCATCCACTCATCCTACCTGCCACCGCTGAGGCATTCGAGTTGAAGCCTAGGCGGGTGCCTGTCTAGTGACGCAAATGCCTTTCTTGAGGCTGGCGATGCAACCCCAAGCCCAGAAAGATACAGCAGCTGCATGTTTACACTTTCCGCCTCTCGCACTGTGATGCGAAGGCGCGACTTGTGCTTTTGGATGTCAACTGCGCTCAGGTGACAATGACACACATGACTCATGTCACATGACACTCTTACGGAGGACTGCATCGGCCAAGCTTACCCAAATAGTGTGCATTTGGGACTGGCACTTTGGCACATTTTTTGCGAGGGTGGTCCTTCCTTGCTGGCTGTAAAATTCTTTCCTGGCCAAGAATTCAACCAGTCAACCTTGCCCCTGCTTACTCTCCCTTGCAGCCAATGCCGATGCGTTTCACCCTTCACACAACACTCTTGGCACGCAAGTGCACCAAGTGAAAACTGCTGCATAGGGCAGTTTGAGACCGGTTTTGTCCAGCACGGCAGACGTTCACAGCTTGGGCTGAAATGGCCGTATACAACGTTATTACAACGTCATCTTATGGCTTTGACAGGGGTGTTTCTTGTCAGTCCTTTGGTAACGTTGGTATCCTGGGTTCATCATGATTCATCATTGTGGTTTGTTTGCTTTGTGCATGCTGGTTTCATGTACAGTGTTGATTCCCACTGGATGTGACAAGGGCACGCCTTCATGTTACTCTTAAAGTTGAAGAGGTACAAGATTCTCTCCGGCACAGTGGATCTTCGCTCTTTCGGCTCGTTGAGGTACAGAGATGGGGCCGCTGCAGTCATACCCACACTGGCCATATAGAAGATAGAACAACATCATGTCACGCTATCAGCATCTATCAGCTACATGTTTCATGCGGGGAGCCATGGTTTGCCGTTTGCACCTGGCCTCACTACCTGAAAGGCTCAGCAAGCAGCAAGCAGTACATTGAGTGCAAATCAACAAGCCTGAAGATTCTTCAAGACACGAAATGTCACAGTGTTTGGGCATGGGCACGCCCCCCTTATTGTGGTTGACACATGTTGACACTCAAAATTCTATGAAGGTGTTCGAGATTTTTCAGCAAATCTGGGGTGCAGCCCCTACCCCACCCACCCACACACCCAACCTAGGAGCCTATATTCAGCATGCTGTAGCCACTGGCCAGTGGACGAATTGCCGTTTTCACGTGCCACAGCTCAACATGAGCTCTCGACCCTCTGCCCTCCATGAGCTCTCGACCTTCGCCGAGAGCGGCTCGGCTTCGGCGACGCCGCGAAAGTTGAGACGGGGATCGAAGCGACGAGTGGAGAATCTGCGACGTCCAGCACTTGTCGTGGCAACAGCAGGTTTCTTATGGCACAGTATCAGTAACATGCAACATACCACTGAACTACTACATACCACTACCAAGCTTTCGTTTTGGCAAGAGGAGTGGGGCACTTTGCCATTGCCCAAGCTTCCGGCAAGGGCCAATGCTTCCCTCCGGCCGTTGCAGCGCCATGCCGAGGATTTCGACGAGAGCGACAAGGAGAAGGCTGGGTCCCAATCGTGGTGAGGCTGTGTCCAGGGAGCGGTCTAGGATTGGACCAAATCTATGGGTTTGGGTCGCTGCGCCCTGGTTGAGGAAGGGGGCCGAGCTCTAACCCATGCCAGAGAGGTCCCTCGGTCGCCAGCGAGGTTGTGCATCGCTCAGGGGTGCTTTTTGGTGCGATTGGTGAGGAAAGGTTGGTTGGTTCGTCCACTGCAGGTCGCACAGATCCAACAGTTTGGATGGCTACAGCCCATCCGGAAAACGGCAGGTCTGAAAGTCAACGGTTTCGAGCCATGTCACATGTCCGTTGAACAGTGCATATTCCCTTCAGGATTGATGCCGGGCTGTGTGTAAAGGGAGCTAATACCAGAGAAATACCGTGGTCCTAGGTTCGTTGGTTTCGCTTCACGCTCTCAGCCTTGGGGAGGACCTCGGCAAAGGACATGAAGCAAAACGCCCTCAGATTCCGAAGGACGTTTCCTGGCATACATTCATGGAAGGCCATCATCGTTGGATATTGTATGATATTGTTGGAACGCTGAGACCGGGCAATTCATCCAGGCGAATGCAAGACAGTGTCCGGGACAGACCTGGACAGTTCCAGATGCCCAACCCATGCAATCGACCTGCGATAGAGGCAGAGGTTTGTACATCGGAATTGTTTTTATCCTCTCAGACTCTAAGACTCTAAGAGGAGGAGAAGCAAACTAGTAACTAGTACGGATTGCACACTGTCGATCCGCTACTGAGGAAGACCTTGATCTCGTCAACCCGGACCTGGAGAAGGATGAAGATATGGAAGATGCAGTGCCTCAGTTGCACGGACATTGAAAGTGATAACAGGGTCCTCATTTGAGCAGCGTTTTTCATCAAATGAGCAGCGGATTTCTATGGAAGTGGAATTGGTAATCGATGGCACACCGAAAGAAACCACTACTCAACTCACCTCATGTCTCCTTTCCTTTCATCAAGGCCCAAAGCCCCACGCGGCTCTACGATGAGGCGAGTCAAAAAAGGACGATGAGTTACGCGTTGGCATGGGCATGCATGGACTGACATGTGATACGACCGTCTTTTGGTACGAAGCCCACATGAATGACAGGTGTTGAATATGATCTATATATATATATCTATATATGTATATGTTATTATACATTTATAGTTATATAATATAGATATGATCACAGTGTAACATGACATGATATGATATGACATTTGGTTGCGTTGGGGTTGCCTTTGCTGGTTTGAAGCATTGGCCTAGGCCATTCCCAGGCCGCCCCACGAGGTCAGTCGGGGAACCTCAGAGGCCGTGGATGAGGGTTCAACAGGGCCAACTTCTATCAATCGACCTATAGCAATACTATACTAATACTGTGCAAGAAATGCATGCATGGATGGATGGATGGATGGATGCTCAGCGCCTTTGGGTATCAGATGTCGAGTTGATGCATACCTTTCCAGGATGTCCTGGAAAGAGCTGTGATCCTGAGATGAAGTTGGAGAGTAACTCTTGGCCAAAGCTTCGGGTTGCTGTTCCTCTCGGAGGGTTGTGGGAAGAATTTACAAGACTGCGAGATGCGTGATAGCCACATGCTTTCAAAACCCGAATAAGGGCTGCTGCCAAGAACGCTGTACAGAAAAAGTCACGTGCAATACTGCGTTTTGTAATGGCTGCCAGGTGCCATTGCTGTTGTTGCTGTGGTGGGTCTTGTTTGGAAGGGTGCTTGAGTGGTTTGTGTTTGGTGTGTTTGAGGTGGGGCTGGAAGCCCGGAATGACAGAGTTTCAAAAAAGGGACCAGAGGACCAAAGCCCAATTGGCTGGCGGGATTTGGATATATGATATATGATGATATATATAATGATCTGAGATCGCTTGTGTCTTGCGATTTTTGAAGCAAGCTAAGACATGCCAACAAGAACAATGGATCAAGGGCGGTGATAGGGACATATTTTTTCCCTTGCATCTCGCGTATCATGCGTATCTAGTGCTTACACCATGATGTTCGTTCGTGTTTACTTTGGAGGCACAGGTTGTCTTATGGAGTTTGCTCACTTGGCTGGCTATTTGTGACTAGCTGAATAGATGGCTGATCTATCAGACTTGTAGCAAGACCACTTGTCCCTGCCAGCGGTCCTTCCTTCAGACGACGGTTGTCCCTTCTGCTTCGTGACCCCCAGGGGCCACCCAAGTTGCTGTGACCAGATGAACTTGTGAGTGTTAAGAGCCGTGCTACTCAATTCATTATCAAAGGAAGTTTAGTGTGCAAAACTTCCGTGTTACGGACATTCAACAGCTGTTCAACCACCACTCATCATACACCACTCATCACACACCACTCATCATACACCACTCATCATACACCACTCATCATACAC